AAACTACCTTTGGACTTGGCTCCTCTGCGATAGCTGGCCGCAGCTACCATAAAAATTCAACGGACAGTTGTTGGATCTGTGTGCACGCGTATCTTCTTTTCTTTCTTTTTTTCTTTTAAGTCGATCTTGGAGTTTTTCTGACGCACACGAGAGAGAGAGAGAGAGAGAGAGAGAGAGAGAGAGAGAGAGAGAGAGAGAGAGAGAGAGAGAGAGAGAGAGAGAGAGAGNTTGTAGCAGTCACGAACCGCCGCTCCGAAAAGAACTTCCACGAAGCACCTTTCAGGTTAATTTACCGTAACAAAACCGAAATTTACGTCGCGTGCTCTCTTTTTTCTTTTTTTTTACCTGCGTCGGCGGGACTTTCGACGAATATCAAGATATCGCACTTCTCGACTTGTTTTAGATTTATGCTACCGGCCACCAAACGATCGCTATTGCGTAATGCCACTCAAGTATAATAAACCAAGTACCTGAACGGAAGCGGAGGTAAAAAGTTCCTCAACTTTCAATCTTTTTCCGTTTTACGTATTCTATGTGTACATACAGGTTTTTCGCTCTTTTGCAGATCATATTCACCTTATTGCTAAATCTAATTCACAGATGTGAATGACACAAAAGTAATACGGTGGTTATAGAAGTAATACAGTCTCAGTTTGTCGTTTTTTGTGATTCTATTTTGTTTTGTAATATTTTTAACGTATTTTAAATATTTTGGCTGATCCTTCGAATTCCATGAATTTATTTAATGGATGTTACTAATCGTCCTGTTGCACTCCTTACAGATTGTCATCATTATTACACAAATATGCATAGAAAATTGTCCAGCGCAGCGGCAGACAAATCGTTACAGATGAATCTGCACATCTACGTACATTCAATATTTTGATAAGTATTTTATGTTAAGTCATTCTATGTTATTTCTTTGTTCAAGTGTTGTTAAAATTTTTATTTCGGAATAATAACTTTGCATTGGGTTTTATTTTTATTACAATGGCCTAAGAAAACAAATTTAGTAGAGAAACACGACTAGCAAAAGGGTGTATTTGATTTGCAAAAGGATCTGGAACGCGAGATCTGTATTTATATACTACTATACGTCGCTGTTAACCTTTGCACTGAACAGGAAAACCTAAATTACGACGGCAAACGAATTATGTAGCACATGTACGTTCGATTACAGCCGCGTGTAAGCGTAGAATGGCGCAAAGTTCTCTAATTATTTCGAACAGCCCATTTTCATTCAATTTCCCCGCCACTCTGTCCTTCGTTCTAACGAGAATGTCGCGTGAAAGTAATAAATTCCAGAGCAGTTGTTCGTGACTTTGTTGTATGGCGCAATTAAGCAAGTTACGAGACATAGTCGAACGCCTCCGCGAGCAGAAGAAAAAAAACCTGATGGGAATTAACCTCAAAACGATAGCGGCACGGTGGCCAATATAACACGATCATCTCAGGGGACGCGACGAAGGAAAGCCTACGGTGTCGCACGTCGGATTTCTTGACGTCGGTTGACCCGTTCTCTCGGATCCTCTGTTGCTCTCTTTTTCGCCGATCTGGCTATCCCGCTCTCTCCCGTTGTCCTGTCCTACGCCTCCTTCATAGGCTCTACCCGATGGGAACCGGTATGACCGGAACCGAACAGGCGGAATTCTTTCTACGATTGTCAAAACAAGTCTGTCCGCTGATTTAACGAGCTCGTATCGTCCGCTCTTAATCGATCATACGTAACCTTTGCGTGCAACACCACCACTCTCCGTTTGCAAAAAAGTTTCTCGATGCATACGCAAGCATTCGAATTGTATTTGAAAATTGTTCGTCGAGATCCCTCTCGATAAAGGAATTCAATCGAACGTCACCGATTCCCAGCCGCGAGAATATTTTATACGTTAACGATTTCAAACGTTTGAGTGTAATTCGGTTGTACTTGTTGTCAGGGTGTTAGTGTAATTGTGTATCTGCGTCTCGTCCGACGTTCGAATGGTAACGTCAATTTTGTACGTGGTGAATCGTGTCGGTAAAACATTTTGTGATGCTGTCAGTTATTTCTAATCCCGGACCGCGGATATTTGTGCATTATTGTGAAAAATTTAAATAGACAGAAACTCGTTGAATATTTACAACGAAGTCGCAAATCTCTGCTTAAATTCCATATTGTATTCTATATTTCAATAATCTAAATGGAGCGAAAGTTCTCTTCGTGCTTGACATGTATATACAGACGCGAATACGACCGTTTCCGTAAATATAAACAGATGTCAGAGGGTCATGAAACATCGTGCAAGAATGTAAATAATCGCCGTAATTATCACATTCCAACCATACAGGTAACAGAAGCTCGGTTACATCGAATCACGTCGCAAGAGTAACAGGTTATTAGACAGAGAAACAAGCGCGGGCTTTTCTGACGTGGTCACGTGACAGACCGCCATTTTTGTCACTTTTCACGTTGCAAATCCCCGAACGGTCGTCAAACCGACTCGAGACAGCACCGCCTCGAGACAGGACCATTCGTCTTCAATGGAATAATAAACATCGGACTTACCGAGCGCGTCCTCGAGACGGCCGCGTGGCAGCAAAAAGAAGCAAACACAAAGCGAAGATGAACCGCAAGTTCGTAACAGTTTCCCGCGTGCTCGGCCGAACCGGAGTTATTGCGTAACGCAACAACTTGTTCGCACAAACGCGCGGTGAACACTCGATTTATTTAGGTGGCACGCGAGATGGTAACACTGACAGGCTGGCACAGAGTGTCACGCGATACGAGAGGAGACAATCCATTTGTTTTGACAAGGGACGTGAAACGAGAAGAGGCCCGCACAAAGATCAGAGATGCGCAACAAGCACCTACCACCACGACGGCTGGAGCGCGACTGACTGGCTGGTGCCGGTGCCGGCTAGCTTCACCGCTACGTACACGCTTTGGCCTCGAGTTTCGAATTACGCGCGGCTTAACGACTCTACAATCCTGCGTCCGTCAGCCTCGAGAAAGAACACGCTGATATTACGCGATCATTTTCGAGCGGTTGTATTCACGCATCAAATACCGTCGCCGTAGTTACAGATAGTAAGATTGTAGATTATTCTCGTCTTAGACACGCCCGTTCATAGATACACACCTTTATGAGACTAAACTGAAATTTTCTTAATCTCTTGCGCTAGTAATTGGTTCACGGACCATAACGAGTGAACCGTATACAATAATTCTTCTTTTTAAATACATCATTTCTATCGGTGTATCACTGGATAGAAACTACTAGTAATAAATTTATTATTTGTTTTGCCTGTGTTATATTTCAGTATACTTAAAACTGAGAAAATATTGCAATTTTGGGCCGAATATTCTTGACACGTCATTCTAGCGCAAGAGATTAAAACATATAAGAATGGAGCCACAATTTCAATTAATTCAACTTTGTAATGTAATTTAGAAGATTTTAACTTGATATAACTTAGCATACCGTACTGTAATATACAACGTTTTAATTAAAATCTTTAATGCGTTGAATAGCGCATTTTCTATTTTATATAACACTGTCCAGTTAGCTGTGACGTTCAAAATTTTTTAGTCGACGATATTCATTTTGTTTCACTTACTTGAAACGTTTGAAGCATTTTCCGGTCCACTGGTGACCACCATGGTTCCATCGTGTAAACAATCTTCGGTCAGAGATGACCAACATGTCAAAGTGTTAAAAGATTTCTGTAGTTAATGTTCAAACGCTTTCTCATGCCTTTTCACCCAAGCGTGAGCGACGGCATATTTACATTTAAAACGACGATCTAGTTATTTCTCTCTATTTATCGTGGAATTGCCGTTGGCTTTACCCATGATTAATCGCGCCGTTTGCAAATATACACGGGATGTGATCGTGATCCGCTTGTCGAGTATATTAAACGTTTCAATTGCTTTGGTATACATTGTTAAATTGCGATACGGCTGGCGATAGTAATTTACGTTGATACTCCAGAGATCGATCGCGCTGACAACGGGGATGGTAGAGGATGAAGACCGTTCTGGAGTAAGACTAACCCGTGGTAAATTCCATTACGTAGAAAGGTCTATTGTTTCCTTGTTAACTGTGCACGCGTTGCGGAACAAAGCGACAAAGGGATTAACAAAACACACGGCACGACAGTGAGCAACATAAACAAATGATCCCTATCAACCCCGTGGCAGGGTAATAAAGCAGCTAGCGACGTTCCCAAATAAGGCCCCGGAGCGTGAAAATCAGAACTTTCAGCCTCGGTTGAGCATTAATTAAGGGCGCCGTGCCTGGAACGAAATTGCTGGAAATAACAAAAAACCGAATTTTTTGGTGAGGGAGGGGGTGGGGGAGGTTTATATTTATCGAGATCCGATCGCAGAAAAAAAAGTACTTTTTATTACGAAATCCAATCCAAGGAAGCGTTGATAACGTCTGCATTTATATCCGATATAATAACGCGTCGTATATTACTTAACATAAAAATTGTTGCGTTAGAGTGTGTAACTGCGTGTGTTTATTTTTTTTTTTTTTTTTCGCGTTTGATTCGTTCGATTTCAGTCGATAGAAAAAATATCCGTATTTGCGATATTTGTGGCGAACGCTTACGGCCGCACGGATATAACAAAGCCCAGGGCAACAAAACGGCTTATACTTTTCTCCCATAATTAGGTAAAACAAGCGGGAAATTGGCCAGGCACCCGGCGATGATGATTCTCGATTTACTTTGAACGACAAGGCGTCGTCGAATCCAGCAAGGGGACGAAGAAAAAACACGTCAACGTCAAACGTCCCTTTCTCCATTCACTTCCTTCCGTCTGTACGTACACGAACGGTGTACCTCTGTCTTTCTCGTTCGGTTTCGCTTGCATTTCTCCGAGATACAACGTGACGCATACCGTGACGTTGAGGCTGACGTGACGCGTGTGCAGGACGAAAACAATGGTTGATACGATGACGATGATGATGTGACGGTGATGACGACGATGATGACAAGCAAGGCGTGTTAGCATCACGTCGAGTGTGATACAGCTCGACCGTACATACATATATATATCCGCGTGTCCGTCTATGCTTGCTCGTGTACGTTTTGTGCAAATTCTGACGATGTGACGAGTGGAAATCATACAGCGAGGTGGCCCTTTGTCCGTTCCAACTTCGACGAAGTTACGATGCCGGTGCTGGAAACAAAATAAGGACGAAGATCACTTTAGGAAAAAAAAGAAAAAGAAAGAAAGAGAAAAGGCACGTCTTCCTACGTTAGTTTTCTCCCACGCGAGCGTGGCAGAATTATTTTAGTCTTTTTAGCTAATTCGTTTTTGCTCGTTCGTTTTCATTGTCGTCCAAGCGCCGAGGATTCGTAGCAGTTCTAGTCCTCTGTTATTATTTTATCGCAAGCAACCGATGCTGATGAATCGATCACTGTGTTACTGTTGTTTCATTCTCACTTTCCGTTGAGCGAAAGTTGTGGAACGCTCGGGCGAACGGAAGTGCATAATTAAGCGGTAGAAGTTAATGTTTTCCAACAGTGTGCACTGGTCGTGAAACGTACGGTAAAGGCAAGGTGGAAGCTTGCGGTCGTTAGAAAGGTAACGAGTGTCGGTTTTAGTTCTCGTCGATGAATGTCACCGTGCGAGCAAACACGGGTGGTGTACACGTTCTGGCGGTGAACGATCGATGGTATTATTAGTTGTCTATCTCTTTAAACGTAACTCGTGACTGACGATTAGATTTTTAGTCCTCTACTAGAGCGTCAAATTACCATTAGGGCTTAACATACCGTACGTGATGAACTTCGAACCAGTTATCGGCGGACAGAGCCTGACGTTCAGTGTAACTTTCAAAAGTAAAATTACCTTAGAAGCTAGAAAATTAAGTTGAAAAAAAGCAACGTTAAAAGAAATCAACGATGAATGAAAAGGGGACGAAGAAAAGGGGAGGTAATGGGGAAAGAAAGAGGAAGAATGATGAACGGTCGAAACGAGCACGTTGCCTTTCCATTTCTTTAAAAAAAAAATACGTTCTGCGACAGAGAGAGAAGAGCAAAGATTACTTAAAAAATGGAAAGCGGAAGTAGCCCAGTTTCTCTATGACAAATGGCGAGAACAGAATGATTAATCCTGGAATGAACAGTGCGTAATCGTGTCAGTCGGAGGAATGAAAGAAGTAAATTACCTTCAGCGGGCGCTGGTGCTGGCGCAGCCTCTGCCGGGGGTGCTGCTGCAGCCTCCGCCGGGGCTCCCTCTGCTGGTGCAGGTGCAGCACCTTCGGCTGGTGGTGCTGGTGCTGCTTCTGGAGCTGCTGGAGTTGCTTCCGCTGGTGCAGGTGCACCTGTGAAAAAATTCCGTAACAATTTCTCGCTCAAGTTCTCAAGTCGTTCTCAACGCCCGGGCGATTAGTTATCTACTGGCATGTCGCGTCGTTATGAAACTAACAAGCGCGTCCAAGTGAAAATGAGTTAGAGTGAAAAGCGATAGAGAGAAATGCCGCGGCAAGATCACCTTCCGCTGGTGGCGGTGCTGGAGCTGCGCCTTCCGCTGGTGGCGGTGCACCTTCGGCTGGCGGTGCACCCTCGGTTGGTGGTGCTCCTTCGGCTGGTGGTGCACCCTCGGCTGGTGGTGCACCTTCGGCTGGTGGTGCACCCTCGGCAGGAGGTGCGGCCGGCGCGCCTTCCGCTGGTGGTGGAGCTGCTCCTTCCGCGGGAGCAGCTGCTGGTGCTTCACCCTCTGCTGGTGGTGCCGCGCCTTCTGCAGGTGCACCTTCTGAACAAGCGCGCGCTTCACTTTAGCAATGCTGCTATATAATCAAGTAAGATAAAATGGATAGACAATGTGACAATGCGCGTCTTGTCTTCTGGAATCTATTGTCCTCTTATCATGCTCAGACGGAGCAGTTTGCACAAATCTCCAATGTGAAGATTATGGAAGATTACAAAGTGATTACAGTTGAACGATTGAAATCGGAGGACTAATGGATCAACCTGGTGGAGGTGCTGCGGGCGCTCCTTCTGCAGGTGGAGCAGCTTCCGCTGGCGGAGCTGCCTCAGCAGGAGGTGCTGGTGTTGGTGCTGGGGCCGGTGCTGGCGGTTCCGGCGTTGGTGCTGGAGCTGCTTCTGGCGGTGGAGGTGCAGGCTCAGGCGTTGGCTCCGGTTTTGGCTCAGGTTCTGGAGGTGGAGCTTCCTACTAGGCGAAAGCAACAACTAAAAAGCTATCTGCCCATTGAAATTTTGCGATACGCACATAGCGATGCATGCAGTGGATAATTATGCTCTGCTAGGGAAGCGAGCAACCTTGTCCAACGAAACATTGCTTACGTTTTTTTTTTGACAGTTTCGTTCGAAATGCACGCGACTTGAACGCGTTGGTTGGAACAGTGCCGTGAAAAAAGGAATTCGAGTTTAATTCAGCGGAACCGGAAGCACGCGGTCAGTATAAAATTACGTTTTTCAGCGGCGTGGCACGTCGACGACACGCGCATTAAATCGCGTGACGTACGCGGTCAACGTGCACGTTTCGCGAATGCAGCCGGTTTAAAGCGTCATTCATAGATACATCATTCGTCCAGGCGAACGATAATAACGCTTTATGTAACGCTCAAGGGACTTGCAACACGACCTCTCTCTCGTGGCGCAGCTATTCGACACTGTGCAGTGAATCAATGACTATTTGCGATAACGAGTATTGTCAAGATAATTAAACAATAGCGTCGCGACGATAAACATTGCCAGGTAATTTCAATTCCCGCGTCCAACCAACCAGTTTCGCGTGCACGTCGCGCGCCCCTCCCGCGAATACATAATTCCGAACACGTGTCCGCTGGAAAAAACATGAACGTAGAATTTAACCGAAAAATTGCCCGGTGAATTACGGTAACGATCGAGGTAACTGCAGGCGGCGGTTATTTTTCGGAAATGTAACGAGTTTGCAAGGTAATAATCCGCACGCTGTGACACGACGCGCGTGTCCCGTTCAAACGCAAACAATGTACAAATCGTAGCGAACATTATGCAGAAGCTTTACGAATGCGGTAGCGAATCGTAATTAAGCGTGATCAGATTAGCGATTCGAAACCGACCTACCGTGCTTGTTTTCTCCCACATTCGGACTCAAAATTGAATTCTCTTTCTTTCTTTTAGCGAGAGAAATTGGCTAGAAAAAGAATTCGAGAGAGAAAAAAAAAAATGAAATTGTTCACGCGACGCGAGAGCTTAACGCGAAAGTTCAGTTTCTCAAAGTGACGCCGATATTTATAAGACGTGGCGTAAAATCTCGTGACAGAATGTACTTACACGCCTCGCTGTACGCTCGCCGCCATTCTACACGCCTCATTGGCTCTTTGACAGGTTTACAATCTCGCGAACGAACGAACAAACGATCTCTCGCGCTCGATGGATAAAAAAAAAAAGCAAGAGCGAACGGGCACGTTCTAATTGAGCCATTCGCGGAATTAGCAACGGTATCACGCCGGTTCTTGATTTTAATAATCAAATTTCGATACGGGCATCGGCGCAGTTCACATTCCTCCGAACGTTCGAGCTTGATCGAAGGCGGCAGTTTTAAATACGCTCGACATACGCGCACCCATCTATATGTAAATCCGGCGACGAATGAATTTGAAACCGGCGTCCCCGATCTTAGAACACAGAACACGAAAGACCACGACGTGGGAATGAAACAAAAGGAACGGAACGTGTGGAAAATTGGGAGAGAATGAACACACACACAAATGCGCGATGCATTTCATCGTCGTTAAATATTTTGCTTTACAATCGAAGATTTTTTTTTTTTTCTCTTGCTATTCCATTACGTTTCATTTCTCCCCTCATCATCCGGTTCGCAGAGTATTACATCAACGTACAATTGGTATTGACATCGTGTACTATTTGGTGGGGGTAACAAGTGTAGAAAAAGAAAAAAAAAAAGAAGAGAACATTGACAGACGTTGGGGGTACGAATGGCACGAGGTTTTCTGTTTTCTGTTTTAAAAAAATATACACACAAAAAAGTATCTTGGTACGGAGAGTGGTCAGTCACAGAACTCTTTCGTTTATGGATTAGAACACTGACATTTGACAAATTCCTGACAGCATCTGTGGAATCATCGTAGACGAAACATACGGACACGAAAAGTGTGATCTCTTGCGTGCATTTCAGGAGTATCTTCTCTTTTTTCTTTTCTTGTGTTCGTTTTTTTAGACGTAAAGTTAATCGAGACGTTAACGAAAAAAGAAACAAATAGAGAGAGAGAGAGAGAGAGAGAGAAAGACAGACAGAGACAGAGAGTAAACGTAGTTATGATTAGGAAGTTGCGTCGACTTGTGTTATCGGATGGATGGATGGACGATCCTTTCTCGAGAACGCGTCGAGAGAGCGCGTGTCAATAGCTTCATGCCTCGACCTCCTCTTCCTTTACCTTCTTTTCCTCGCCTTTCTTCGACCAGTCGGGTTTCTTCTGCAAAATTTCAGAAAGCAAACGTGAGACATCGCCGCAAATTGCGAGTGGAATTCGATTTGCACACGCTGATGGGGGTGAGAGGGTGGGATTATCCGCCTGGTTAGCGTCGTGGGGAAATTTTCGCAAAGCAGGGCTAACTCGCAGGTGGGGATACTTTCACGCGGTGGCAATTTCCTCGCTCGAAAAATTCATCGTGACCGAAAAATTGTCAACAACCGCGCGTGCCAACGATACCGTACGTAGCACGGACGAAAATCCGGTGGTCTCCGGACTCGTTTCAATTTAATGTTTCGAATTAGTCCGACAAGCGTCGTCAGTTTAATGGTTGCCGATCGACGTGTCGCGATCTTCTCTCTTTGTCGTCATTCAAAAAGCCGTGCAGATTGTTAGTGAAACGTAGGCGAGAGAAGATTGAAAGTGAAAGGACCTCGAAAAAAAACCTTGTAGAGAAGAGAGTACGAGAAGAAAAAAAAAAAAGAAGAAAAGAAAGAAAAAAACTGACAAAAAATTGAGCGAGACCAATATCGTACATATGTCGCGGCTCGTATCGTTAAGGGAAGAAAGCTTTTTTTTTCTATTCTAAATCCTATATGATCTCTTCTGGCTCGTTCCTTCACACCATCCCCTGTAATCTACATTGTATCTCTCGTCTAACACACGCACTAACTGTACTCTCATACTAGAAGCATGCCGATCTAAACGAGTTGATCGTTTAAAGCTTTACCTTATCTTTTGACGCATTCTGCGAACAAAATGCAAGAGCAACATCATTAGTCAACAGATAAGACATGGACAATTATTAGAGCGTACATACTAATTAATAACTTAACGATTAAGGGGGGGGGGCGAGGGGGTCGCGCGTGATTCATTCGATCAACGATCGAATCGTCGTCTCGCCGACGATTTCGTCGCGGCCCCCGATCGTAGAGCATGAATCACACTCGATACCGTGATTGGCATGATCGAACCGTGCGTCGAACATCGTAAATCACAACTCCGTACGTACATACAAACGTATTCTCGTGTCTTGCGAGTCGCGATTTATCTCGACAATTGTACGTTGTGCTTTACGTTGATCACAGGTTGAACGAAGGATCGATGTACGGATCGAGAGAGAGAGAGAGAGAGAGAGAGAGAAAACGCAGACGGGACAACAATCCTACACATGTAACAGCCTGGCAAGCATGGCAGCCGAATAATGGCAGCAAAGGCATTAAGCTGCGAAAAGAGCTTATTGCGATCTTGGAAAGAATTTTAATTGAAAGTGACGGCTTTCTCTGTACGTTTTGCGTTACGGAACCAACGCGGCAAACCGTTTCCTAAACGAGGGTTTAACACGTTTTGCGTGAAGGAGCCTGGCGCGAGTAACGAGTTTCAAACAGATAAGATAAACGAAATTGAACGCAGAACAGAGTCAATGGATGAATAATTAGAGAAAATGATAGAAAGAGTGAGCTAGGAAGATAGACAAAAAAAAGTGGAAAGATAGATAGATAGATAGATAGATAGATAGATAGATAGAGAAGATAAATGAACAGGCACTTGTGAGTAAAGCGCTTCTGCGATTACGTACGAAACGAAGAAGAAAGTCTGTGAGTCTTAAATATTAACTTTTGTAAGCCATTCTCACCTTTTTTTTTTTTTTTTTTTTTTTTTTTTTTTTTTTCTTTTTTTTTTTTTTTTTTTTTTTTTTTTTTTTTTTTTTTCTTTTCTGCGCCGCGTATCGGCTCTTTATTACGCAGTCACCGACATCTTTGTAAAATGGCATTAAACAGTGAAAGAGAGAAAGAGAGAGATAGAGAGAGATAGAGAGAAAGAAAAGAGAAAATTAGACGCGTTAAAAGCAAATTAAGTACAATTTCACGTATAGTAACCCGGTACCGTGCGGTACTGACGTCGTCGGAACACGCAAGACGGATAATAGAGACGAAAGGCCAGTGGAGCTTAGAGAAAAAAAAACTAGTGGAACGATTCTCGATAACACTCGACCCATTCTTATCGGATATTCCATAAAAATCGTCGTCTAGATCGCTGCATTTTATAGGGGGAGGGGGCGAGCGCCGAGTTTTCATATTCGCGCGGGATCGAGCCTCGTCGAGTACCGGTTTGTTCCTTGGAACAAAAGAGGTGAATGAAAAACAAAACGAAAAAAGAGAAAAAAAGACAAAAGTAAAAAAAAAAAAAAAAGAAAAATAAATGTGTACAGGAAAATGTTGATGAATGAAAAACGAAAGAAAACGTCGAGAGGGTGAAAACGAGCTAGCGTCGAAGAAGGTGGGAAAAAAAGTAAGAAGTGACTCATCGAGGATAATTATTTGCCTTCTTTCAACGTTATTTGCTTTCTTCGATCGTTTATTGACACATCATTCGTTGGCGTTCGACTCGATTGCTCGGTCGAGCGAGTTGAAAAGAAAAAAAAAGAACATACGGCCTTATTCACCTAATCCGGTTACATACTGAGGAAAAGATTTACAAAGGTGTACGATAAAATTAAGAGAAAGGGTGAGGGGGGGGGGGGGAGAAAAAAAAGAAAAGCACCCGGAAAAAATGGACTAGCTGTTCGATGGAAAGATGGTAAAGAAATCACGTTGATCAACGTGAACCTATTACAACCGAGATGGGAAAGAACGAAAAGCTTTTCTCCGGCTATTTTCTCGCGATTTGTTTCTTCTGTGCTCGCGTTGTGTTCACGCGGTTCGGTTGTTGTACGAGGTGTTAAAGCTCTTTTTCATAGTGTATCGTTACTGCTCGATTGCCTGTATACGCGTGTGATATCGTTTTATTTCTTTTCTCTGTTTACGTTTATTTTACGTTTTTTTCTCTTTTTTTTTTTTTTTTTTTTTTTTTTTTTTTTTTTTTTTTTTGCTTTTTAAATCTATTTCTTCGTCTGCCACTCTGCCTTCTCGGACTTCTTGGGCTGTGGAGAACAACACAATTGCCTAGTCAACTATCGCTACTACTGGGGGAGGGGGAGGTCTTACGTATACGAAAAAACGAGAAAGAGATAAAAAAAGAAACGGTGTCACTTTCAAGAGATCAACCGGTTTTTTTACGCCTTAATTTCGATTTCGCGATGAATGAAACGTGGAGACAGGCCGTGTCGAAACCTCGACAACAAAGAAACAAACACTAGTGACTTTGTTTCGCACATTGTCGAAAATGGCGGATGAGATTGTCGCGTAGGGATTCGGCTTGATCTCGATGAAAGGACGCCCGAGCAACAAGTAAATTAAGACTCTACTGATACAAGGACAAAAAAAAACCTGCTGACTGGGTTTTGGTACATGGAAAGAAAACCAGAGCCACAAAAAGTGTCTTTCTCAATGGCTGGAAAAAAAGACATGAATACAGGCCCGCCCCGTCTGGCGGCGAATGAAAAAAAAAAGAAAATACTTCAAAAACCTTCGAAATCGTCGCGTTCGAAAAAAGATTTCAAAAAGCACGACTCCCACGCGGCGGGACATAAGTTTACGGGAATGTAAGACGTTCGATCCTCAACAAAATTCTCTCCGTGAGAGGAGAAGGCCGCAAATGATCAACGTTTATCGCCATCGTCTTATATTCCTCGTGAACTTTGCTCGCCGAAACGATGAAGAACCCAAAATGGACCGCCGACAAGTGTCGGGGGTGTCGGGGGAGAGAAAA